TCAACATGGAGGACAATGTGCATGTGGTCATGTACAAGAAGGATTAGATTTCATGTGACTCTTTCCCTTTTAATGAGAATGCCGGAAATAGAAGGGATGGTGCGTGTAGTTGCATGTTTCTTATTATTATAACTATTTATTTTATTTATCATATAATATATAGTTCATCAGTATATTAATATACTTCTACCAAAATAACTAATACATATTGGTCCAATACTTATCAAATTTTGAAACGATTTTTACCAAACATATTTTCTATATAATCATAATCACAAAACTAATAAATCTAAAGATTTGGGTCTAAAAATACAATTAATTTCCCTAAATTTTTACCTCAAATTAAAATCATTGTTGCCTCTTGATTTACTTCCAACATCGACGGTCTTGTATTTAGGCAAAGGGACTAAGTCTTTTTCGATGTTCATGAGATCCTCCACGAGGATGTCGTAGTGACGTTTGACTTCCTCCACCGATTTACTACCGACGGCTTTGGCCACGTTTTGCCAACGGTCAGGAGTATCTTTATCGTAAACGGCTAAAGCCCTCTCGAACATCTTGTTTTGCTTTGACGTCCAAGACGAGCTCGAGCTCATAGAGCTTGAAGCCATTTTGTATTATCTAACTTCCGAAGGAAAAAAAATATATGAGATATATATAGAGGGAAACAATATATGAGAAAGAAAAGGGATCGATGCTAAGTTACGAATACAAACGAATACCAAGATAGGCTCCTTATATGGAGGAAAGAGAGTTGAGAGATTCCGCAAATTGTAGTATTTATCCCCCTTTTTGTCCATGTTATTTATCAATATAAGGAAGTAGTGTAATGTTCTTATGGGTCTACATTTTTTTGTTCCATATGTTTCTTTTGGGAGAAAAGTATCGAGAAGTCAACCGTTTATATAACATAGTTTTAATAAAATTTGAAATTAGCAACTCTTTTCTTAGGGATTTATTTTGTAAAATTGTTTACTTATAAAAATAACTTTACTCGATACTGGATCGATAGAAAATAATTGTTATACTTAAGGGTAGGTATACCACAAATATTTTTAAAAATCGATTTTTTTTTTATATATCTACACCATATTTTCAAGTTTTTGAAAAATAACTCAACTGAATTTTAGATAAACGAGTAATCAAAC